GCGGCCGTGTCCATATTCCCCAGCGCCCGTCTTCTCACCATCGGCGACGCGAACGGCGAGATCCAGCGGCACGCGGAGCAGCAGGCGCTGCGCCTCGAGGTGCGCGCCGGCCCGGACGCCGCGAGCATCGCCCTCTACAGCCGTGAGTGCGGGACCGCGAGGCCGGGCGGCGTGTGGGGACTTGGCGCACGAGGCCGGCCGGCGTGGGGGGCCCCTGCGGGGGTGGCGAGGTCGGAGGTGCGGGGCCCGGGGAGGCCGGAGCGTGTGGAGCCCCGAGCCGCGGGGGCTTGGAGGGGTCCCCGGAGCCCCGAGCTCAGATCCGGAGTGCGAGCCGAGCTACCTCGGCGAAGGGGGCCCGGGGTGAGGGTGGGAGCGCCGATCGCGTGCGCGATGGCCCGAAGGGCGAGGAGTAAGGAGGAACGCGGGAAATGGGGGAGCAGGGGGCCCGGGATTTGGGGTGGGGGCGGGGGCCCTGCGCGCTGGGCGAAGTGGGAGGAAGCTGGGCGGTGGGGGCTGGGTGGGGAGCGAAGCAGCCCCGGGGGTGGGAGGCTGCGAGCCTCGGGGGCGGGTGTGGCCGCCGGGCCGGGGAGGCAAGTGGGCCAGGGGGCTGCCCTTGGCCGAGCCAAGTGCTTCCTGCACCCGGGCGGCCGGATCCCCGGAGCGGGGCGGGATTCCTGGGGATGGGCCCCCGCGGGAGACCGGGGTCGAGCGCGAAGTCCGGCTGGGAAGTGAGCGGTGACCACCTCCCGCGCGCAATTCCTTTGCTGTTCCCGGGGCCATGCGAGACCCCGGGGCACATTTTCAGGAGCTTGTGCCCAGACTTGACATTTCAGCGGAGTAAAATCTCAAACAGGCTCGCCAGGGACCCCGAGCCTTTGTAGTTCTTCTCTCTCTTGTTACTCTTACCGGCTGGGCTCTCGGATTCCCAGTTCCCATGTTGCTATTCTGTTTCATTCAGCTTTTGTCTTTGCTGCTCGGATCCTGGGGGGTGGGTGGGTGGATGGGAGGAGCAGGGGGTGCTGTCTTGCCTTTGACTTGTGTGAATTCTTTGCGACTTTGGGCATGGGGCATTCCAGAGTGCAGCTCAAAGCACTCAGTTCTCCTAGGGTGGTTTTTTTTTTTTCTTTTCCCTTTTCCCTCCTGCACCTTGACTTTGAAAAGGTAGACTGGAACGGGCTAATGGGGAAATGGGGTCTTCTTGGACCAGGGGAGGAAAGGTGAGAGGATCCCTGGAGGGCACCGGGGCTCCGAACAGAAACTTAAACTCGCTCTTAAATCCAGCAGAATCTGAAGATTATAACCGTGGTCATTTATGTGGCAGGTCCTATGGCCACCTCCGTCTGGGACAGTATATAAAGTAGGGCCTTGTTTCTCGAACTTGGATCCCAGGGTTTACTCTCAAGGAGTTCCAGGATTATTATTATTTTCTTTTTAAAGATATCCTTTCCCTACTAACGTTTATTTTTTATTAATTTTAATGGATGTTTAGAGAGACATAGGGTTTCCAGTCATTCATTGTTGCACTTTGCTACCTGCCCACCCCCTCCCCCTCTTCACTCTTCCTTGAAAAGGAAACTCTCATTGTTATGCAGTCCCTCCCCCCAAGTTCACTCCACTGTGCAGCCTTCATTATGGTCATGACAGTAATACCCGGTAATGTATCCTTTTTTTTTGAACTTTTTTTAATTATTACTATGTGTGTACCGTCAAATCGGATCTGACAGGTACAGGAGGTGATTGTTCCTCCTTCTTCAGCAGAGCATCTGGTGGATTTGAACCACACACCTCTGCGGTTGCAGTGCAGCTTCTTGCCACTAGGCCACCAGAGCTCACCTAATGGATCCCTTTTAAAAATAGTTCTCTCCTTCATCTGTTTCAATGCAGTGTACATCATTCCTCCCCTCCTTTTCTGTCTTCCCTTAACCCTGATGTCAGTGGCATTTACAGCCGTGGCCCTATGCAGTATTTGTCCTTTTGTGACTGAGATATTTCACTCAGCATAATGTTCTCCAGGGTCATCCATTTTGTATACTATTTCATGAGTTCCTTGTTTTTCAATTCAGCATAGTTTTCCATTGTGTGAATATACCAGAGCTGCTCTATCCATTCATTTATCGATGGACACTTGGGTTGTTTCCAGCTCTTTGCTATTGCGAACAGAACTGCAATAAACATGGGTGTGCATATATCTGCTTGGGGTGGCGGTTATGGTTTCTCTAGGGTAAATTCCCAGTAGTGGAATTGCTGGTATTTCTATTTGCAACTTTTTGAGAATGCACCATACAGCCATCCATAGTGGTTGCACCATTTTACACTCCCAAGAGTGAATACTAACTTTATTTATTTATTTATTTATTTATTTTAAATTTTATTATTTTTGTGTGAGTGTACTGTCAATCACTGGCAGAGCATCTGGTGTATTCGAACCGTGCGCCTCTGGGATTGTAGTTGCAGCTCATTGCCACTAGGCCACCAGAACTCCCGAAACTTTTTTATTTTTAAGGAACAGTTTTGTAGGCAGCTCTGGTGGCTTGCTAAAAAGTTGCGCTGCTAACCTGAAGACATGTTCAAATCCACTAGCTACTTCCAAGGAAAAAGATGGACAGTCACCTCCCATGCTTTTTACAACCTCTGAAAACCCGCCAAAGCAACATCACAACACGCAGCCACTCTTTAGGTTTTTTTCTTTTTTGATTGTGATTTAATGATTTTTTTTTCTTTTTTTCAGAAAAGTTGGATTTCCAAGTCTTTAGTTTTACAGCTTTAGGTGTATAAAATTATTACGGAGTTCCTATGTATCCCACGCCCAGCTTATTAAAATGTGAAAACACACCTGAGTCAGACCTCGTTGATAATCCTGTTTATGTTAAGGACCCAAAGCAAATAAGACCCATAACTATCAACCTGATTCCAGCCTAACGCTTCTCTTTTAAAAGGCATTCACAAGGTATTTAAAGACTGGAAAGTCTGTGTTTATTAAGCCGACATCCTTTCTTGTGGCGTGAAGCAGTCTCAAGAGTTTGGAAGAATTTTTTTTTTTATTCTTTTGTGACGCTCACATAGTAATGGTGTAGGGTTTAGAATGTGGCTTCTAGAACCCTTCAAAGTGGGGTCTGTCAGTTTCCTAGGGCTACTGTAACACATTACCATTAACTTGGAGGTTTAAAACAATAGAAATGTCCATTTTGTGCAGTCCTAGAACCTAGACGTGAAATCCATTGGGGGCCTGGCAAGGCTATGCTCTCTTCAAATTCTGGGAAAAATCCTTTCTTGCCTCTTGCGGCTTTTGGTGGTTCCAGGTATTGCTTGTTTACGGCAAAATCACACCAGTCTTTGCCCCAGTCTTCCACTTGACTGTCTCCTTTTTGTTTTTGTGACCTTAAGTCGTCTTATAAAGATACCTATCTGGCTGCTGGGCCTACCCTAAATCCAGGATGATCTCATCTCGATTAATGACAGCTGCAAAGACTCTTTCCCCAAATAAGGTCACCCTCCCAGGATCTGGAAGTTAGGACGCCCATACATCTCTTTTGGGAGACGTAATTGAACCCACTCCATGAGCGTACACTTGGACCCCATCATTTTAGTAGGTTGGAACCCGGCTTGTTCCTTGGTGAAATGGGAGTGGTGAGACTGGGTGGTGCAAGGTGTTTGCTCAGTGAACGATCATGGGGAGCACCTGAGTGCCGGGAAGTTGGGCGACAGAAGTCCCAGGTCAAGGTAAGGCAGAGCTCATTCCCAGGGTGGGATAGTCGGGAACGGGAACGATTGCTTTGAAGTGTTCCAGGATGAGTGCAAAGTCCCGGGGGGGGGGGGGGCCCAAGAACCGGCTGAGAAGTGCAGGATGGTTGTGCCTCAGAGGGAGGTGGCGAGTAGGTGGGCCAGGGATGACTGAATGACGGGGGTCATGGAGCCAGTTGAATTGGCTCAGGACAGGGCAGGGCTCAGAGCTGTCGTACATACATAGGGTCCCTATGAGTTGCAAGGGACTCAACGGTACATAACAAGAGGACACACCCTCTGGTGACTTAGGGGTGAACCAGGCTTCTGGACGAGGTCTTCTCTCTGCTTTTAAACATAAAAGTGACAACGTTTACGGTTTCTTTATCCTTTACCTGTACGTCAGTGACATTGTGTGTGTTGTTTTTCAACCATCACCAGTAAGTTTCCAGTGACACTGTGTTTGTTAGGTTTTTCAGCCATCACCCTTAAGTTTCCAGTATTCCTCTTTAACAGAAAGAAGCTCAAGAATGTCCTAAAGGATGACTCTCCCTCCGTCCTGCCCACTCCTGATAACCTGATAAACTTTGGTGCCTGGGTCTGCATAGTCTAGATAGTTCCTTGGGGGTGGTGTCGTATGAGGTCTTGTGTCTGACTTAGTTCACTCAGCCTGTTGCCCTCAGGGCTCCCCCAGGTGTTAGCAGGTGCTTTCTAGGTCACTAGGATACTCTTGTACGTAGACACCACAGTTTATCTGTCTTTATCCATTTGTCTGTGGATAGACATTGGTGTTTGTTAATTTGTATCCTTGAGTTGAAACTGACCCATAGCTGATCCTCCAGTTGTTGTTGTTGCAGTTGTTAAGTGCCCGGGAGTCCTGGGTGATTCATAGCGACCCTATCAACAAAGTCCTGAGCACCTGTGTAACTTTGGTCCTCTCTCCAGGTTCACAGGGTTTCTGGAGGCAAGCTATTATGAAAGTGGACGCCACTCCTGCTTCCAAGCTTGTCTTAAGCTCCACCAAACACTGTCCACCATGGGTAACCATTCTCGCATTTGACTCATCAGTGTCACGGTGTTCAGCTTCACAGCAACCGCGAGTTACCTTTGTACAGCAAGTGGACACACCAGGATTACATAACCTTGAAAAATGTTTCACCGAAAAACAATTAAAGGCAGGCCTCAGGGCCTCGGAGTAGAGTCACCCACCTTTGGCTTGGGAGCATGCTTTCTGTCCGCTAGGCCAACTTCTCGCTTGCTCTACACTGCTGCTGCTGTTGTTGTTGTTGTTCAGTGCCATCGATCCTCCAGAGGGTCAGTACATTGTGTCGGGGATTTGGCCATCTTTCTCCTGTTGAGTGATTTGAACCACATACCTTTGCATTGGCATTGTGATTCCTTGCCACTGAGCTCCCTCTTCCC